GTGACCGAACGGTTACCATGCCGGGCTGCCACGGAGAGATCTCGGGTTCGATTCCCGAGCCGGTAAAAATATTTGGCCTACATTTATTTCTCTCGCGAATTTGGGTGTAGTTAGTGGTTGTCTATAAGTGTGTCCATGGCATCCGCGATACAGGGTTTGCCTAGTTGCGTTATTAAATAATATTCCTTGTGAAAGAGTTCGTCCAGGGAAGTACTGCCCCGTTACCTATTTCTGCCGCCAAGCAGTAATGTGACCGTTACTGTGTTCCCGTTTTGAAGGGTGAAATTACAGACATATGAGACTTGTCAACTTATGTCTCAGGATGATAGAAGTGTCCCACAAATTTTTGCGATTTAAAGCTCTGAGTGGCACTGCAACTTCTATGGACAGGCGTGTCGCTTAACACCAGGTGCACGACTTGTTCATCCCGTCACTTAGTATTACTTATAAAAAGAAAGTTCTGCGGTAAGAATAAAATCGAACATTAACGCGTATGACAATCGTTTTTGGTAGGTAAATAAATTACCCTCTGTTATTTTCACACAGGGTTAAGGTACCGGGAAAAACAAAAACTCGTTGACTCAAGTGGGCTTCACCTTTCACGATGACCTTCAATTAATGAGTCACTGTTAGAAAGCAGCAATTTATCAAATTTGAGTGATTGTTCTTTTTTTCAGGGTTCCACACCTGAACGGTAAAATCTGCCGCTGTTAGTTGAAAGGGCGCTCGTGACAAAAACTCAAAACCGAGAAGGGCATTCCCTCAAAGCCGCAATTTCCTGTGCCCACGCACTAAACTCCACTTATTTATCAAAACAAAATCGTACAAAAAAAGAGTGTGTATAATATAATAGGTCGAAAGCTAACTGGAGAGCACAAAATCCCAATAAACCTTTCGGACCTAATGGAAAAAACTCCGAAATGCCTAAAACCTGACAACGGTGGCGTATCCCGAATGCAGAATCCAACACAGTGTCATTTTTCTCAAAATTGAAACCGTACCTATATGGGCATTTCTCCAAAGCCGCAATTTTGTCCATGCACTAAACTCCACTTATTTATTAAAACAAAAAACGTACAAAAAAAAGAGTGTATAATATAATAAGGTCGAAAGCTAACTGGAGAGCACAAAATCTCAATAAACCTTTCGGACCTAAAGGAAAAAATCCAAAATGCCTAAAACCTGACAACGGTGGCGTGACCTGAATGCAGAATCCAACACAGTGTCATTTTTCTCATAATTGAAACCGTACCTATATGGGCATTTCTCCAAAGCCGCAATTTTGTGTCCATGCTCTAAACTCCACTTATCAAAACAAAAATCTACAAAAAAAAAGAATGTATCATAGAGGTCGAAAGCTAACTGGAGAGCACGAATCCCCAATAAACCTTTCGGACCTAATGGAAAAACTCATAAACGCCTAAAACCTGACAACACTGGCGAGTCCCGAATGCAGAATCCAACACAAAGTGTTGGAATTTTGAGAAAAATTTAAACCCTATATCAATAATTAGACTTTAGTTCACGTGTAATAAATGAGATGACAGTATTTATAATCTGAAGTTCACAATAAACTAGACAGATGTTAGTTTCATCACAATACCAAGATTGCTGCGTGTCCTAGGCTTACGCGGGAATTTGGTAGTCGTTACTAATAGCGCTACACATCACAAGTGACGTATTTTAGAAGCTTCGCAATTCGTTCATATTATTTGTCCATCACGCTCCTGCAGCTGGACTTTTTACGAGTAAATACGTAATTCGGTGGATTTGGTCCAGGTTGATTGTTTATTTCGGTGTAGGTATACGATATTTCTACAACTACATTTTATGTATTTTTATTTCATTGATGTATGTTATATTTTTTATAATATGTATTGTAACGACTAAAATATAATAAGAATTTATTTATTGGTTTTACAAGTATTGTCGTTTACGATTAATATAAAAAATATACATTTTCTGAATCCCGTGGCCTTGGATTCGGTGGATTTTATGCCACAGAATTCAGAAAAGCTTCCAACGAAGATGGAAAAAACTGCAGTCGAAGCCATATTTTCTTTGAAATGCAAGAATTCTTTTACATTTTTCCATATAAATGTTTAGTTAACATTATTGGTTTTCACAATTTCATGTTACTACTTACTTCCCGCTGAAAATAAATAAGGAAAACCAGAACAGAAAAGAAAATTGGAAATCAATAAAATGAAGGAACGTGCTAGATAAGCAAAGATAAAAAGCGACCCAATTATATATGAAAGATTTAAAGAAAAAGTTAGACAGACGTATGCGAAGAAAAAGCAGAAGAAAAGGTTTTGAAGTTGCATGAATTACCGTCATGTTTAGAAAGTAATGAAAGATATTAATCACGCAAGTTCCAAAAAATTGTTTTTGTAGCTTTACAAATTACGTTCTAAAATACTTTTTTTTTCAAGTGATACTGAAATAGTTTGAGTGACTGAAAAAAGGCTGAACAGCCAAACTGAAAACTGATTTTAATTAATAGTCATAAATCATTAGTAAATATTTATGTAAGTTATTGAATGTTTTTATTGCCTTTTTTATAATATTTTATACAAAAATTATGCCTTTTGTTAAATTATCCTGATTTCGGTGGTAGCTGAATTTGGTGGATCAAATATGTTATTAACTGTTAAGACTCTAGTTGCCCAATTAACGGAATCTAATGCAAGTTTGAGTTCTTTTTCCTTCCCGATCAATGTTTTTCCTGAAATTAGGAAAAAAATTCGATCACCGAAGTCAGAATACTTAGCCCTTATAGAAGAAATGCCCAGAAAATAAATTTAATTTTAAAAGTATCTACTATTTTTCGGAACCAATGTCTTTATCTGTTTCGTTCACATATTTGTTAAATATTTACTTCGAACAAAGATAATAGACATACTTAGTTAGTAAAATGCCGTACTATTATTTTGAGTTACATTTATAGGATTAGGTCAATGACTGAGACGCTGTTATAGAAAATAATCGTATCATAAAATGTACGGAAGAACACAACAATAGAACAATTATAAAACACAATAATTTGCACCCTTGGTGGAATATCGGCACTTTTTCAAAATCACAACTTATGTGTCATTCAGATCCTTACGATAACTCAGTTGTCGACCGATTCGATGTGATATCGTAAGATTTCTTTTGTTCACAACACCTGAATAGAACGTCAAACTGTCGTATTCGAAGCCGACCCGAAATGACGTCACACCCGTACGATTACTCGAGCTTCTCGACCGGCAAAGGCTACAAACGTTATTCAGAACGCAATTATTGAATGGAAGTTACCGAACGTGAATATTATTTGTAATGTATATTATATTTATTTTATAATTTAATTTGCTATTTTATAACTTAATTTGTTAATACAGTAAATATATGTAATGTAAGTAAAGTAAAAAATTAACAGTAAATTAATAATAATTTAAGCATTTTAACTGTAATACCCTGTCGAATGTGTGTAAAATATTGTTGTAACCGAATTTACTCAGCGATGGGGAATTTAAATAAATAAATAAATAAAAAGTCCTATTGTTTACAAAGCAAAAATGTAATATAAAGATCTCTTATTATTTTAAATGGATTTTGTTCAATTTTGTTAATTTATTTTATTGCAAGCCTCATGCATTCCTATTTTTAGGCTTTTAAAGTCTTAATAATCTCAGTACAAAGTACTAAAAAAACCGACCTCAAAAGTACGTGGAATTATGTCTATTTGCTAAGTTTATAAAAATATATTTATAGATAATAACAATCGGTTCTCACTACTCAAAGTATATTGAGAGAAAAACGCCTTGAATTGGAGAAATAGCAAAATCAACCATTAAAGTAATTGCTCCTAAACTACAGTTAGGCGCTATTTATAAAAATGAATCTTCATGCGTGAACAGCCACCATTCGAGGTGGATGATTTTCTTCAAAATGAAATGGGACCACTATGGAAATACCCCCTTTCCAACAAAAAAGAATCATGAAAATCGGTTCACAAATACCGGAGTTATCGCGTAACATACATGCAAAAAAAAACAAAAAGAACATACAGTCGAATTGAGAACCTCCTCCTTTTTGAAGTCGGTTAAAAATTTGTATAAAAGGATTATCATTCTTCTTATAATCTATTTCACGGACTAACTCCGTAAACGCTATTGGAATCCAAGTCGAACGTTTAGCTCGATCGTTAAGAATGCTCTGAATAGGGGTCTAGAAGAGAGTTTCAAAGATTCTACGAACGAAATAAGTCGCAAACTATTTTATGGTAAAATAGAAGAGTTATACAATTTTATGTATTTATAACAAAAGTACTTTTGATGTATGGCCGAAGAAGGATTTAATGTTTTGATGTTACTTGCTTCTTTACGCTGATCTACATTTTGCCAAACCACGTGTTATGTACGTCATCGATCGACGCGTCCCAGATTTCCACCGCTCAATGTCACAAACATGATAACAGCACATTACATCATTCTTTACTCGTACACTACAGTTTACCGTTTAGCAGTATTATAGTCGTAACAATTATTTATTTCTTTTATTTTCATAGGTTAAATTTGTTTTGTGTGAAGTTTTCTTTTCTCTATTGTCAGTGTCAAACGGGATCGTGTTTTGTCATAATAATTATACGAAATGCTGATTTTTATAAAGAACTTTTAAAGACATACAAGTGTACGATAAATAAAAAACGTTTTTTTGTGCGGTTAAACATAAAGTATTAATTTACAGTGCTACAAAATGCTATTTACGATTACGAGGATAAGTGATAAGCGATGTTGACATTGCGATTTCCAGTTAATTTTAGGTGAGTTTCCTTCTATCTTTTAATTGATGACTGCTAATTGACAGGTGTATTTTTTTGCCGGAGAGTAGTTTAAGTCAATTTTTTTCATTAGATTGCGCTTATAGTTTTTGAGATTGACCTTATTTTACTCACGAATCAACGTCCTACTTAAAAGTTGTTACTTAAATAATTTTATAGACTCATGGAATCGTCGCCAGGGCCGCCAGGATTATCAGGCCGTATCTTGTAATTGTTTTACAGTGGTTTAAAACGTGTTTTTCTGAAAACTACTTTTGGACATCAGTTTGTACTCAGATCAATAATACGACACAGTCGCTCTCCATGGATTTTGTGATTGGCGGGCTAGCCGGCGCAGGCGCAACGGTGTTTACGAACCCGCTCGACGTGGTCAAGACGCGGCTGCAGCTGCAGGGCGAGTTGCGTGCGCGCTCTAAGCACACCGTGCAGTACCGCGGCATCTTCAATGGACTATACGTCATTGCGAAGAATGACGGTTTGCTCGCACTGCAGAAGGGGCTTGTCCCAGCTATGTTTTTTGGATTCGCTATGAATTCTGTAAGGTAAGTGCTTTCTTTTACAACGTCTATAAAGGTATCCTAAATATTTTCAAAAAAAGATTTTTGACCAATTACTTAGTTAGCAGAACCTTTGGACTGTCGGTAATTCAATAAAAGTAGGTTTGGTTCTAACATCGAGTATACAACCACAAATAGAGACGAAATGTCATTTACTTTGTTTGAAAACTGTTCTGCCAAATCGTTACGATGGCAACGGCGCTCCGATTGGCCAGCCCGAATTCGAAACAATTGACGGGTGTTGTCAATTGTTTCACTTCAAAATGACCAGTTTAACTTGAGCTTCGCTACAATGGACGAAAATTTAAGAATTACATATTTAACATTTAATTACTTATGAAATATGATTCCGTTTGTTTTGTAATTAGATGTTTTGCTGTTTTTCCCACGCCGAATAGAAAAGCCTCCCGTGGTTAGAGATATTATCTTTATTACAACAAATACAGAATGTTTTTGGAATGTACGGCGACATACACACAGGTCAGCTGTTGGCGCTGTACTATTTCAGCTTTCTAATTTGTGTATTCAGCGCAAACGAGAGTTGATATTTAAAAGTGATATAAAGCCCATTCCCCTGATGAGTTACCAGGGATGGATGGCCCTTATGTCGTCTCCATTTCTGGTTATATACTCGACGGTTTCTAATAAATATCTGTCTGTCTCTTTTACGTATACAGGGTTATTTGTAAAATACTGTACAACTAACATTATAAACAACAACTTTACTTCTGACACTTTCTATTATAGATCTGTATTTGGTAAGTAGCGCGGTAGTAAGTTCAAATGTGCAAGCGTCCTCTCCGTTGAACCCCATCCCCGCTCCAGGGTTTTGCATCGGGCTAGTATTTTATGCTAGCGCTTTTTTGTTCGTATGAAAAAGTACATTAACGCTAACGGAGAATATTTTGAGAAACAATAAATTAATTTCTGACCATTTATAGTATATTTTTATCCATTCCGGAAACTTATAGTGCGCCTCACGTAGAATATACATAAGTATAGCGATAAATTGGAAGACAATATTTTTATTAGAGTTTACACTGGCCGTTCACGTAATCATAGGACTATCCGTAGAAAATAAATACCGTAGGAATCTTACACATAAAAACGATACGACTTCGTCGCGTCGTGCTACAATGCGGCATCGTGTCACGATGCGACGTCGTATCGTGGAAATCTGCGACGAACAACGTAAAAATTCACCACATGACATCGCAACGTGTCATGTCGCACGGCACGACATCGTATCGTAGAAAGTCACGGTGCGCTTCCTAGTGCCGCATTCGTTTGTTATTCAATATTCAAAGATGACAGCGTTGAGGTTGATTATTTAATAACCCTAGTATGACCCTAGTCGAGGAGTGTCCTGTACTATGGGACAAAACATCAGAAGAATACAAAGTCATCTTTGAACAAGTATAACAAATGAATGCGGCACTGGAGAGCGCACCGTGAGTTTCTACGATACGACGACGCCATGCCGTGTGTCGTGACACGTTGCGATGTCGTGTCGTGAATTTTTACGTTGCTCGTCGTCCATTTCCACGATACGACGCCACAAAGTGAAACGATGCCGCTTCGTAGCACGACGTGGTATCGTATTTATGTGTAAGAGCCCGTACAAGTGCTTAGTTTGCATGCCACGGATGGCAACAGTACGCGACGTTCCGCATATTTAAACTTCGTCCGCCATTTTCGCTCTTTACGCTACGGTCATGCCAATTAGGTATCTCGCACAAAATCTTGAAAATCATAGAAAAAGCCTTATTTTGATACTTTGGATAATAAAAGTCGCACTTGGTATATTATCTCTAGTAGTGTTTAATTCATCGTGTCATTCAAGTCTTATTTTATTTAATTGTAATATATTTTCAATTATTAAAATAATTTTCAATTATGTTCTGTTTTGGTGAACTAAGTAAACATCTCCAATTCGTTGTCATTCAGTTATTGACCGTTAGATGGCAGTAGATTGATAGAATGTTCAATATAAAACATCATAACTTGCAATAATAGTATAAATATCATCGAAAGTTAAGTTTAAATTATATTAACTGTCCAGGGTTTGTTACTTCTTTTTAAATTAGAAACTACGTAACATTTTATAATGTTTCAAAGTTAAAGCGTGAGTTTGGCGACAGCGTTTCTGATAATACTTTCCATTGTTTTTCTTCCGTGGTAATTTATATTCTTGTCTAGATCTGAATCACTCATATAACATTATGTACATTGTGATATACACAGGGTCTTAGGAGGTTATACTTATATTGATACTAAATCTCATTTCTAATCATGTTTTGACTAAAATTTTAATTTAACAGGTTAGGTTTGTATCATATAGCTGAAACAAACAAATGGATCATGCATAAAGAGGGAAATATCAGTATGCCCAAAGCGGCGTTCTGGGGGAGCGTGAGTGGATACCTAAGCGGAATTGCGGCCACCCCCTTGTCCGTAGTCAAGACTAGACTGCAGTCAGCCTCACATCCCAGTATCGCAGTTGGGAGGCAATATAGATACACTGGTGAGTCGAAACTGTTCCAGGTTATACTCGTATATCGAATATATAACCAGAAATAGAGACGAAATAAGGGCCATTTATCCCTGGCAAATCATCAGGGAAATGGACCTTATATCGCTTTTAAATATGAACTCTCCTTTGCGTTGAAATCATAAATTAAAAATCTGAAATAGTACAGCGCCAACAACTGACCTGTGTGTACGTCTTCGTATATTCCAAAAATATTCTGTATTTATTGTAATAAAGATAATATCTCTGACAATGCGAGACTTTTCTATTCGATGATGTGGGAAAAACAGCAAAACATTTAATTACAAAACAAACGGAATCATATTTCATCGGTAATTAAACATTAAATATGTAATTTTTCAATTATCGTCCATTACAGCAAAGCTCAAGTTATACTGGTCGTATTGAAGTGAAACAATTAACGACACCCGTCAATTGTTTCGAATTCGGGCTGGCCCATCGGAGCGCAGCTGTCACCGTAATGGTTTGGCAGAATAATTTTCAGACAAATTTAATGACATTTCGTCTCTATTTCTGGTTACATGCTCGATGTACTCGTGTAAGCGAAGTAACACATTTTAAGTATATATAGTCTTTCGTATCTTTATATTTAATATGTAAAATAATTATTTGTAAAATTCTAACAACATTGCAGGACTATATTACTAATATCATAAACAACAACTTTTGTTTATTTTTTATGATACCAAGTGGCAGGACGAATTATGTAGTCGCGCGTCTATTGGTAAGCGAGACGGCCGTTTCCTGATGCTCCTACTGGGTGCTCCTACTGGTAGAAGCACAAGGACTATTATATCCTTATGCTCCTATCGTGACTTTCATATCTAATAAGAACAGTGAACTAGAACAAAAAAGAATTTCAAAATTAAAAAGTCAAAAATATCATTCTCACTCATATCTTTCTATCACTATTTTTCATGATGATACTATTAATTCTTCTTACCTCTCAAAGACGCTCAGGGGCCCAAGTTGTTGTTTCAAGAAGTATAGAAAGACGACATGAGTGTGAACTCCACACGAATATGATTCAGAGTGTATTACATAGCATTTAAGTTTATTTGAGCAGAAAAGAAAAGAAAGAGCAGTCCCTAGAGTTTCCTGCTCGTTCTTCTCAGGGAAATAAGCACAGTAAACGAGCAGTAGCTTAAAAAATGACGATGGAATAAATGGTTGACTTCAGCAACATTTTCATTTTTAAACCGCCGCAAATTCTGGAAGATGGGTCTCTCTGTAAATGAAATCCTTACCACCCTCCATCATATCCCATGAATATACTGTCTTTTTACTTGGACTTTTACACAGAAGATTTGAAATCCTATAGTTATGAAAATACTCCCTCAGACTCGGAATTAATATCTACAAATTGGCGTTCTTTTTTCACTGGATGTGTTCGTATTCTTACAAATATTTTTTTATAGCGTATTATAGCAATTGTCAATTATAATTAACAGCACTCATAATGGGTATAACTTACAAAATTGTAACATAAATAATCTCAGTACAGAGTACTAAATAACCGTCCTCAAAAGTACGTGGAATCACATCTATTTGCCAAGTTTTATTGAAAACTTACAGGAAAGTGCGCAAACCCGGATTCATCCCCTAGTTCGGCATTATCAGGAAGTTGACGCCAGGATATAATAAAAATCGGTTCTCACTACTCAAAAGTGTATTGAGACAGAAAAACGCCTTGATTGTAGAATATCAAAATCAACCATTAAAATAATTGCTCCTTATAATAAAATTTAGGCGCTATTTATAAAAATGAATCTTCATGAGTGAACAGTCACCCTTAGAGGTGGAAGATTTTCTTCAAAATTAAATGAGACCACTATGGAGGCACCCTCTTTCCAACAAAAAAGAATCATCAAAATCGGTTCACAAATACCGGAGTTATCGCGTAACATACATACAAAAAAAACAAATTGAATTGAGAATCTCCTCCTTTTTTAAAGTCGGTTAAAAAACGAATTATTTACATTACTTACTATAGCAGTAGTAGAGCTCCTTGACCCCTACAGGCAGAAGTACCTATTTCTGCCGCCAAGCAGTAATGTGACCATTATTGCGTTTCGGTTTTGAAGGATAAAGACGCTGGTGAAATTACAGGGACTTGTCAATTTACGTCTCAGAGCTTTAAATCGCAATGATCTGAGAGGTACTGCCACTGCGCCCGTCACCCTGAGACATAAAGTTGACAAGTCCCATGTGCCTGTAATTTCACCAGCACCCTTACCCTTTTAAACCGGAACGCAGTTATGCTAACAATACTTCTTGTCGGCAGAAATAAGTAAGGTGGCTGTACTTCCCTGGACGAACTCTTTACTCTTTACTGGTGCTGTTATACGAGTATATCGTATATTTTTATAGGCATGAAACACGCCGTGGTCTCGATATACAACAAAGAAGGCATGAAAGGCTTCTTTGCGGGCTTAAATGCCACATGCACTCGCTTGTTCATCGGGAGCGCGGCACAACTTACTACATTTTCCACGTAAGTCCTTCTGTTATTCTACTATAGTCTATGTTTTTTAAAGACGGAGTAAAATGTCAGTTCATTGCGCAAAAGTGTTGCCCGCTTGCAAGCAGCTAGTGATTGCAATCGATAAATATACTATCGGCTATCGAAGAACATTGGTCACACTTGTGGAATCAATAGCCGAAATTGTTACATTTGAATCATTCATTCAATCAATCTTTTGAATTGTCAATATTTGTAAGTTCCTACATACATACACTGTATTTAGAGCTGTTTATGAAAAATACAAAGAGGAAAAATTTAAAGTTTTGTTTTAATTAAATTCAAAGTATTAGTTCTCTTCTGAAACATTTGAAAGAATTCATTTTCAAAGGAGTTCGAAAAGTAATTCAGTAACAAGCGACTGCTTGTTTTAATAAATTTATGAAATTAATCTATCAAAGTATTATATAGTAATGGCGTAGTGTGAATAATATTGATAAAGATAAATGCAACCGAATGTCTCTCTTATCGCGTTGCATTGTTATGGGTATTTTTCTACGGTAGGACATTCGTTATGATTTCTTTTGATATCTTTAGAAACCGCAAAAAACCGCAGCTGGTTTTTATAAAATTTAATCAAATCCGGCTATTCTTGTTAAAATGTTTAAAAATAAAAATCGATCTCGATACTAGTAGGCCATCTGTCAAAATAAGAATAAAGAAGGCAATAACGCAATTAGTAATAATTAGAACATTGGTAACATTCACAGTTTAGTTATTTTTGGCAAAATTTTATCTGAAATCAAAAACGAAAATCAAAATAATCTTTATTTCATAGGTAAGCATTATTACACTTGAAATCGTTACGTTGGTTAAACTTTACCGCTCATTCGTGAGGCAGATTCCCCTGAGAAGAATGAGCAAGAAACTCTAGGGATTGCTCGGGATTTGTAAATAACATTTGTACGCATTCACAATATATACGTTTTTGTTGCTTTCAAACATCAGAGATCGAGACTACCTCCATGAGCTAAACGCGGGGTTTTGTCATCCAAGTACGCAGAAGTTGTATAATAACCTTTAGTATAAAGTTTTTGTTTCACTATAGTTTTAAACCTCGTGAATAGCAAATTTTGTACATCAACCGGAATCTTGTATACATTGCCCCTTAAATGAATTTGTCACTTTGTGAAGACGACTATCAAGAACATCTAGTTTATTTTTATTCCTCGTATTAATGTTATGTCTGTCACTATTTTTCGTAAAGAGATTACTATTCCTCTTAACATCAATAATAAAATTACATTTTCATAGATGCGTGCTGTTCAACAGCACGTCAATTGTAAAAATTATAGCAATATTACAATTGCAATGCAAAGCATGTCAAGTGTAAAAAAATAGCAATATTACAATTGCAATGCAATCGTCGTACAGTTCATGCGGTTATGAAATTTTGAAAGCTGGTTACCATACTGGTCTGCACGCATAGTCCCGGGTTCGAGTCCCAGGCCGGGAGAAATATTACTTCGAGTGTAATTTGTGGTTGTCTATGTGTGTCCATGGCACCAGCGATACTGGACAGCTAATGATTTCCCTAGTGCGGAGCATGATTGTGTAAAAGAAATTAGAGTGCCTAATCTGGAATTTAAAAATGTATTAGTAGCAGTAGAGCTCCTTGTGTACCACCTTTCCTATTTCTGCCGCAGTAATGTTAGCATTACTGCGTTCCGGTTTTGAAGGGTAAGGGTGCTGGTGAAATTACAGGCACATGAGACATCAACCTATGTCTCCGTTCAGATATTTGTGTTTTAAAACTCTGACATTTATTCAAATTGTGTTGACTGATTAAAATGATATGTTTGCTTCTTCGTTGTGTTCTATTTTGTAATTTAATATTTTGTTTTATTTTCGCTTTGTTTTTTTCTTCTTTCTGTGCATTTTTGTGTTATGACGTTGCGTTTTGTGATAAACTTTCCTACTGTCATCCAACTCATCGTAAGGCTAAGGCGATTAACACACCGCACCGCGACACGCGACCGGTGCGCGAGACGCGCAATCACGCGCGCGGTGGCTGAGACGCAGATCTGCGTCATCGCTCGTTTTAATCGCGCGGGGGCAGCGGTAGCAGCCCCGCGCCACTTAGGGTCGTATTCCAGAATTCTACTCAATACTCAAGTCAGGACTTGAGTATTACAGTGAGCACTGAAAATCATACTCAAGTCCTTGCCATTAGGGTCGTATATCCAGTGCTTGAAATCATACTCAAGTCTGCTCAAATCCTGACTTGAGCATTGAGTAGAGTTCTGGAATACGACCATTAAAGTACTCACTTCGTAGTTGATCGCCGTAGTGATTGTAAATGTAGCCCAGATCCTACTTTGACAAGAATGGTTAATAATGCAGAACTCATTCAGGACGCTGCAGTTGTACCGTCTATATGGTTTTTGTTTACTCAAATAAAAAGCACCGAAAATATTGGATACATCCCTTTTTACGAACCAGATCGATAAATGGATCATTTCAACTTCATTACAAAGATTTAAGAAAATATGGAGAAAAAATTTTTCAACTACACACGCATGTCAACTGGATTCTTTGATTATTTGTTAGGGATTATTGATTAAATAAATAGAAAAACAGCGGCGCAGCGGCGCGGTAAGACCGCGCGTGTTGCACTCGGAGAAGTGTTGTTCGTGTGTTGTACAGCGCTTGTTTTCCATACAAACTGAGGTAATTCAGTACAACGTTAAAAAACGCAGCTATGCGTTCCGTCGCGGGGCGCGGTGCAGTGTGTTAATCACCTAAAGCTCCTACATGATAGTTGAAAACGTAAATCACTTCTCCCTCCCATTCAGAGCCTAACATCAAAACTGTACGTCGCCAAAATCATATTGTTTCGCTTAACAGCTCAAAGGAGTTCCTGCTAAATAATGGCATTTGTGTCAACACGCCGCTAGGGTTGGCGTTTTTGGCCAGCTTGCTCAGCGCGGTAGTCGTCAGCCTCGCGATATGCCCTCTTGACGTCGCCACTGTCAGACTTTATAACCAAGGTATCATTATATTTTTCTTTACTTCCAGGGAGACTCCTTTTGACACGTTCTTTCTAGATTAAGTGACAGTCATGTGCATTTTGGCGAATCCAGTCGAGAATTTCGTACCGAATAATTATATGTACCTACGTCAAATGGGTCCATGACGCGGCTATAGTTCCATTATCGACTTTGTTACAAAAAATGTCACATTTAGGTAGCAAATGCCTCGAACGAACAGCTAATAAAATTCTAAGCGCCCTATTACACGACGCGAAAGATTTAGCCCGAATCTCGATCGAAAAAAGATGGCGAATCTGAGTTCTATTTACAATGCGGTAACCACGTGGACCAAAGACAAGCCAGTATCGCCCGCACGCTCGGGACGCTCATTTAAGTTAAACCGTAAAAGCTAAACGAATAGAGCATGTTTTGCCATGACTGTTGGATATACGCGGACCCTGCGCGGCGGCCACGCGATGAAATTGGTATCGAATAAATGCGCCCTAAGACTTGCAGGTCACTTGAGGTTTTTTTATGTAATTTGAAAGTACACTGCTTGACTACGAGGTGGTATATAGCTATGCGGCTACGAAACTTCTCGACAAGTCGAAGTAGGTATCGTAGAGGTTTACGGTTTTGCAGCTACGGAAACTGTCCCATAAGTGAAAGAAGTGACCATTATTTCAGATATTTCAGCAGAATAAGTATTGCTATAAAGTCCAAGGAAAAGTTGCACCCTTGGTGTAATAAGGTCACATCTGTAAAATTATAAGTTTTCAGGAGAGAGCTTTCAGAATTTTACAAACCGAATTAGACCAACTTTTTATGCTTAATGCTTAAATAGGAGAGTTATAAAATTTCACATAGATACATAATTTGTTTCATGTAGTTCGTATTATTTTGACGACTTTCTTGTGATTAATAAAAAAAACAGATAACTGCCCTGAGAGAGGCCGACAGAACCAGATGCAAGAAAATCGTCCATAAAGTCTCGAAAACCATTTGGGGGCACGACTTTCAGCAATGAAGACATAACGACTAAGAAGATGTGATAAAAGCACTTTTGACGTATAATCACACGTAGCTTTATTGAAGAATACGAATTCGAACTGCATTATTTAATACATACACTTGAAAAAAATGTACCTTCATCAGAACAAAATTATAGCAATATAAATAGTACGCCGTCCATATTGACAGAGTGAACTCAAATTGCTAGAAGAGATAAAAATAAATTACCAGGAGAAATAAAAATTCGACTGGATTCGCCATTCTGCCTGTCACCTTTTTATGGAGCCAAGGAACGGCACGAACAAGTCGTGCGCCTGGTGGTAAACGACACGCCTAAATGGCAGGTTTGAGGGACACTGCCACTGCGCCGTTCCCCCCCGAGACGTAAATTGACAAGTCCCATGTGCCTGCAATTTCACCACTTGGGCACAATGGCAGTCTTAATTACCACCACCAAAAATATTCCCTATTAAAATATAGCGCACATGACAACTAACATAGTATTATCTCAATCTCAGTACAGGGTACTAAAAAAACCGACCTCAAAATTACGTGGAATTACGCCTTTCCAACAAAAGAATCATGAAAATCGGTTCACAAATACCGGAGTTATCGCGTAACATACATACAAAAAAAAAGAACACAGTCGAATTGAGAACCTCCTCCTTTTTTGAAGTCGGTTAAAAATAGCTTTAATTTATATTAATATTAGCTATTTAGTTTCAAAGTGACAGAGTTGTCCTGTCACTTTAAAATTAAATCTTATGCAAATGACACATCAATATGGCGAAATTTTGGAGATAAATTGTATATGCAATTTTGAGATAAAATATAACGCAATTTTTGAGATAATACTATGTTAGTTATCAAGTGCGATATTATTTTTATAAGAAAAATTTATGACATTTCGGACCGTTTTCCTCTGCCTGGTTTCACTGGGCTCGACCCACTAGTCGAGCAGGATTTTCAAGTACTTTGGCCCATTTATATGGTAGAGATAGCGTCTGTTAGCTCGGGGCTCCGTTTTATAAATAAATAATAAAAAAAATATAGGAAAAGGGCAAACTTAAAGATTAATTGTCATAATCTTTGACCTAACATAATATTTTAAACGCCCTTCCTTTTAAAGAATTGACTATATTCATAACCTTAACCAGGTGATCGAAAAATGTACATCACTGAACAATCCACCGAAATTAGTTATAATAATAATCAATCACTTATGTCAGTTAAATATTTATATTGTAAGTACAAATCTTTAATAAGTATAAATTAAATTGTGTACACTTATCGAAGTTGTTCTAAACAATGACCAATTTCTTTATGGATCAATTACCAAAAGTGGATACGCCTAGTATCGTTACAAGTGGTGAGAAAAGTTTTCACAACTCCTAATAGGTTCATTTATGTTAAACAGTGGATGTATAATTTGAAAATCCTGCTGGACCTACTAGTGGAATCAAGCAGTGACGCCAATAAACCAAAAACAAAATAAATTGTTTTCAGGGCCTGCGAAGCGTGGTGTGGTGCTTTACAACGGGTTGTTTGACTGTGTGGCCAAAATATACCGAATTGAAGGCCTCCACGGCCTCTACAAGGGCCTTGGCCCGCTGTACCTCAGATTAGCTCCTCACACAACCCTGTCTCTCGTCATATGGGACATGCTTAACAATATATTGCTACATAATAAAAACAGCTGATGGTCGTTGACTGTTTTTATTTGATTCCCCAAATAATAAGTGCGTGCTTAAAAATTTTTACTGGCGATCCATTTTGTTAATTTTAAGACGATTCCAAAAACGTCACACAACTAGCGACTTTATTCATGGTAAGCGCTAGGTGGAGTAAAATGAATCTCCCAATCCAAATCTAGATCACTGCAGTCTGAGCTATCGTTGTCCGACTCAAGCGTCATAGTGTCCACCTCTTCAACGTCTTCAGGGCAAATGCAAACTGGTATATTTGGGTTATAGGGTGGTACTCCCATTGCCTGGTTATAAGCCTTAAGACAAGTTTGTTCGCAAACCTCTGGGTGATACGGGTCAGTGAACACGTTATTAAAAGTCTCCTTGATGAGACGCTGCTCCCTCCGCTTACGTTTTCTCACCTTCTCTTCATTACTGGCGCTGGCTATCTTGTATATCAAAGGTTTGTACTGCTCATTGTTGCCTTCAGCTTCCGTGTCCACTTGCAGCTCTATAAAGTATTGACCGGCTTTTTTAGCCACGATCAAAGTTGGCTTGTCTTCACGACGCTTTTTGGATCTTTTCGTTGGTTTCCTACGCGCGATCTCTGACGTCTGCAGTTTTGCGGCATTCAATTTCCGCAGTAAGCGCTTTGAAATCGCTCCTGGTCTCCAGCCATCCGCCTTCTAGAATAATATTAATAAACGTAATAACTTGCAAGCCCAATTCATAAATATATAATATTTTATAATAGCCCAAGCTATGACTCATTTTCGAATGCTATGTAATAGTTGCAAAGTTGCAAAGCATAATTTTGTAACAATAAATTTTGACAGTTTGTATAAATTGTAGCTGTGTACCAACGATAAACAAAAAGAAAAAAAACTTACTTTAACATCTTCGATGGACAGGATGTGCTGTCTTTACAGTTTTAACATATTCTCAACAAAACATAAATTCGTGAAATAATTGTTCTTAAGTACAGCCGATAAACATGGTTACTTTATTTTCCTTACAGTTACAAATTCTCACTTAAACATGACGAAACATTGTACTTGAATTCGAACTAATACGTCACTACACTAATAAATTAGACCCAAATAAAAACATTTATGGCAAAGTCAGCATACTTGCGTGCTGGCTGTTTTCAATACTCGTTCGTTGTGCCTCAGAATGTGTTCGATCTGCTGCTGCCGCATTACCTCACCGTTAATGAACGAGCTAAAGCACGGTACATGGAAAGAACTGAGACTAAAACCCTCCTTATCCAATGTGACCAATCTGTCCTTAGGTCTTGGATTTTGGTACTCTTTCAGTCTAAAAAAAGTCTTGTTGCCGCGTTCGTCCACTGCTACGATACCTTTCCCCGAACTTTTGGGATGTTTGCATTTATAACGTACTGAATCATCAGATGTACGATCTGCGCCGCGTCCGTGTTTTCTCTTAAAATTTGACCGAGGTATTACGTGAGGTATGTTTGTATGATCACCTTGTACGTCCATCTTTCCAAACTTCGATATTAATAACCTGTCGTGCCCGTGACCTTTGATGCCCAATCCAGATATATCTTTTGGTGAAGCGTCACCGAAGCAACTCCAAGACGCCTCGGAAGGTTTGGATGTTTCTTTAGGAGCTCTTTTATCTTCAGCTACGTATTTCTTTCCTTTGTTTTTTTTTCCGTTTTTAGCTGCTACTGCCTCTCCACCTCTCCGTCCTTGTCCGCCTCCACGAGCTCTTGGATAAAACCGCCACTTCCCTTGACAATCCACATAACCATCAACCCCAATTTCCAGCCATTCGTTATTTGCCGCTTGGAATTTTCCATCCTCGTTTTCTACTTGTTCGCCATTAGGCCCAGTAAAAACGTTTGGCGCCCACCGCCCGTCAGGACCTATGAAGCCATCTACATTAATCTCTAGCCATTTATCATCAGGACTCCAGAATCCTCCTAAGTCACTACACATTGTACTACCATCTATATACTTGAAGAACCTAGGTACAGGATTACCAAGCCGATCTACCAACTTCACTCTAAAATCTAGATATGAGTACTGTGAACAATTATCAACTTTGACGATCTTCTTCCCTTTAAAAGCCGGATTAAAATATGCAACCGGTGGCGTAAACTCAACTATCCACTCATCATCATCAGTTGCAGAACCAATTGAAGATTTAGATGCATCACTGCAAGAACAAGAATGGTCTAAATCAATTCTATCCGGACCAGGCAGAGCAGGGAAGCACGAACACGGAGGATCTTCAGAATGAGGCAAAAGCTGAAGTGCTTGGCGGTACGTATTTATGCAAATCTCTTTGCACATATCTCTAAAAGCGCTTTGTATAAATTCTCTTTGATATCTTTCAAGTCTTCTTTGTTCACGTGCTTTTTTCTTAGCTCGTTCTCTATTTTCTTCCTCAGTTCTCCCAATCGTGTAGGTTACTAACGGTTTGTCTTCATAAGGATAATTATTCGGATATCTCGGTTTAGAAAATGTTTTCATAGTTTCCATTGTAACCGTGTATTCTCCGTCTTTCTTTTCAACGATAAGCAGGGGTCGTTTCAAAGGTCGTTTAAACTTGTTATCTTGTTTCTTTCTCCTCCTAGCAAGTAATAGGTCAGGATTTTTAGCGGCATTCAACATGCGTACCACTTTTCTATTAGTAGCTCCTGGTCGATAAGTTGGACGGAACTACAAAAAAAAGGAATAAAAATAAAAAAAAGGAATTGTACAATTCAAGATGATTAAAATAGAAAGTATTGTAAAAGTTTTTATACTTTATCTTGGATGTTTCAGTGAGTAACTAGCTTGGACACTTGTAATCAAAATAAGCTATTCCATTTATAAAAATCGATAATCTCAGTACAGAGTACTAAAAAAACCGACCTCAAAAGTACGTGGTATTACATCTATTTGCTAAGTTTTATTGAAATATCCTTAAATTCGCCACTATACAGGACTTGACACTGGAGATAATAAAAAATCGGTTCTCACTACTCAAAGAAAATTGAGAGAAAAACGCCTTCAATTGGAAAAATAGCAAAATCAAACATTAAAATAAATGCTCCTTAAGAAAAGTTAGGCGCTATTTATAAAAATTAATCTTCATGCGTGAACAGCCACTCTTAGAGGTGGATAATTTCCTTCAAAATGAAATGGGACTACTATGGAAGTACCCCCTTTCCAACTAAAAAGAATCATGAAAATCGGGTCACAAATACCGGAGTTATCGCGTAACATACATACAACTACTTTTTTGAAGTCGGTTAAATATAATTCAATTTTGGCTACAAAGATTGCGATCATTTACCATTTCTTATGGCGCGTCGCGTAACGCAAAAACGCAGCGTATGTCGGCATCCATATATTTATATACAATACTTTTTTAAAAATATCTACGCTGCGTTGAACATTTTTATATTAAAAAGTATAGACGGCTACGTAGTACGCGCTCGTTTATTACGATCATTACCCTATACTAGAGCTTTGTAGTCAAGTAAAAATACATGGTTTATACAAGGTTCCTGTTATATACAAATTTGAGTACTTGCCTTCAGTCCAGGAACATTTGGAGCTGTCCACAACCAACCCATGTGTTTCGGTACATTAGGCATTGTTCCAGCACACGTTAAAACACCACAGAATTCATGCCCAATCTTCGGTGCTACAATATAAAACATTAATAAAAGATAATCGGATATTGACATCCAAGGGATTTATAAAATCAATAAAAAATAATACTTATTTATAATACATACGTATACCTTTGTAACCATAGTTGAACTTGAATCTGTCATCTATAATTTTTTTCTTTTTTCCTTTCGTTTCGCCTTTTTCGCTTACACTCTCGTCTTTAGCCGCCTTTGTTTTTTTACTACGTTCAATGTGTGTAGAACTGTCATCCTTAACCTTCTTTTTTTTCTGATCTAAATTGTAATAAATAGGACAAGGAAATGGATCTGTAGTAATTTCAGCCATATCTTCTCCAACTTTTTCGAAACCTCCACAAATTTTGCAGAAAGTTGACCTTTTCACGAACCCAAACCTACATTCACAGGTACAGAAACAAGGATCGTCGTCAATTTTCATTTTGGCCTCCACTGTACCTTCAATTTCCTCAACTTTTGCATATTTTCCCTCGGGCATTTTCAAGAAAATTGGCTTATGCTCGGGCAACAGTGACCCTCTTTCTCGCTTATTATTGCATTCAACAATATTAGTACATTTACGGAGGTTGATCAATCGTGCTGTTTCTAATGGCAAGTCTGTAGAACATATATTCTCGAAACAAGGATTTTTATCTACACCCTCAATTTTACATGCGCTTCCACATACTTTAAACTTATAATAGCCTTTAGGTGACTGTGAGGTTCCTTCGCTAGTTGTAATTTTCACGTCAGATAATGAAGGTAAACTTTTAACGGAATTCTTGATTTCTATAGCAGAACCTTTTTCAACTGTACAATATTCCACCCAGTACACTTGATTTCTAGTCGGGGCACCTCTCATTGGAGCATTAAGTTCCCCGAAAATATGATTTAATACGTTTAAACGCTCTTTAATTTCTATTGCGGAATATGATTTCCTTAAAACAATATGTTTATTGTAGTCTAAGTCAGACTGACTCCTAACCAGGCTTGCGATACTCTTTTCCGCTTTTCCACTTCTCTTTGTAACACATGTTTGAAGTGAGACATCGTCTTTATCTGTATCTTTTTCCAATTGTGTTACTTCTTGTTTTAGTTTTTTCTCCTTAGGCGTTATTGGAATTGGGTTTTCCTCCTTTATTAAAACAATTTTATCGTTACAATATTTACTAAAGTTATTTTTACCGCCACTGTAAACAGTTTTTATGGTTCCAGTATTTTCAACGGAAAGCATAGTTTCATTAGTAACATCTGACCGAACCCCTGACGTGAGGGTTTTTTGTGGAACATCATTTAATTGCGTTAATTTTATGTTTAAAGTGACTACAGCCATTCGTCTCGAGGTATATTCATCAAACACATCATACTTATTCTTGAACGATTTAGAAGGAAGATGTATTCTATCGGGATGCTGTAAATATTTTATAAACGACGGGTTCCACGGTATTTCTGACAGTCCTAAAGCGCATGACTCGTCCTTGCTCCACAATATCAGTTCTATCGGGTACTGTCTCATAAGGGATACGAGAGATTCGACGTTGGTGACTACCATCGCCGCCTGACAAGGCACCACGTAGTTAGAGGCAGCCCCTAATCTACATTTTTTTCGTTTACCTTTTTTCTTTGATATAAGAGACTCTGCGTACAGTTCGTTAGGGTTTTTCAACTGAACCGTGAATATATCTTGGAATTGACATTTAATACGTAATTTCGTGCATGTTGTATAACTCTTTAGATCTTCGAGGGTTATTTCAAACAAAAATATGGAATCCGAAGAAGCCATGTTAGTACTAAAATCTTTGTTCAGAATGTTAACTTTTTTCACACGATATTGATGTTTCTACTGAAATTCGCTACAACGAAAATTCTCTTGGATTGTTGTACTACTTACAAATTTTAGAACTTTGCCGAATAAGATGTCGAAATTTTGACAAAATTTGACCTAAAACATAGTATTTAAATTCCCATTGGATTGGATTTTATAATCATGATACTTTTTTATTGTGACTGACATTTTTATTTTATTAATAGTTTTCTACTTATGATTTGTGTACCAGTCAGACTAGTATGCCAGTGACATTTCGAACGATGTTATCGTTGTTGCGCTGCTTCCTCCTACAGAAACAAGTATTTTGTATTAGGCTGGCTGTACATTTACGGGTATCATAATAATGTCTATTAGAAAAAATCGAATGCGCGCCGAAAGGCTTTCGAGCCAATTTCCTGAATCTGAAGTCGCAAATCCGTCGAATCCCGAATTCCAAGATTGAAAAAAATTGGTATTCTGTCAAAATTTTATTCGAGTGATAGTCCGTTACTGGTTGTCGCTGTATGGTTCTTCACACGGAAGAAAAAAACAGAGGTACCTTGCCTCGATTACTATCAGAACCGATGTCGCCAAAACTCCCACGTTCCTAATTTCAAAACACTACAAATCTTGATATTGATTGATCGTAGTTTTAAATTTAAAAAGATGTAACAAGGTCTGGATTATTGATATATTTTAAAATTTTACCCTGTTGGCATATCGTTGAATGTTTAATACTATCAATACCAATTATTGCAAGTTACGTTTCGATATTGATATTTCAATCAATGTGCTGCCATCTAGCGGTTGATCGCTGAAAAGCAAAAAAGAAGCGACCATATTGCGGATATAAGCTTTCATTTTTTGGTACGTACAAAAAAATTCGATGAACAGAAAATTTAAAATTTATTAAAATAAGACTCCAATGACATGAGATACCACCACGGCTAATATTTTTGGTGCAGCTATCATTTTTGCACTCCAAAAGAGCACAATAAGGCATTTTTCTCGGATATTAAAGAATTTGAACGAAAGAATGACACAACTGAAATAGACAAATGCGTAGTGGTACTACATGCCCGTAGTGGGGTGGCAGCTGAGTTCTGCGTTCTCGATGAACTTGCAACGGGTTCCACCACACTAGTGGTTTCTACCCCATCGGCTGCGTCTACAGAGTACGAACACCTACCCCGCTATGGTAGCATGTTCCCATCGTGATCCATCCCGGGCGCGGACAAATACGCTGTCCCCTGATTTAAAAGATGGTGTTACACTGTCTGAATTTATATCGGTTTGTATCTGTCTGTGCTGTAGGACCTTTTTAATATTAGGGCGTGCATTATCGATAATAAGAGTTATGCAATAAGAAAAAAAGGAAATTTTCTAGTCGTCTTTTCAGGTTGCGGTGATCATTTGCTCTTCATTTGGTGATATTTCTAAATTTTAGAATTATTGTTGAAATGTTATCATTTTATGTGATTTTATATAAATATAAAGTGAATACTGTAATCTAGTGTAGATTATACTTTCATACTGTCAATAATTATGAAATTATAACTAATTGATATATCACAGTGAGAAGGTAATGAGTAATTCATCGAGGGAAATGACAATAATAAAAAATAGGGAAGGTTGATGCGACGGTAATGCGGATGAATAGAAAGAAATAATAACTTTTGTTTTATTTACCTTGTAAATTTTGTGTTAAATTATTTCGAAACTAAAAATATAATCGAAACATAACATCACATTAGCTAAATTCACCTTGTCAGTGTCAGAAATAAAATAGAAACAATTTAAAAACCTCCTTTCCAGTCAATTATACACACATCAAAAGTGTCTAGGGATCAAGTGAATATTTTTGAAA